AGAGAGAGAGAGAGAGAAAGGAACCACTGTACGTACCTCCGGGCGGCGGCACCACTTGATCCAGAAGCTTCGGGCTGGTCCTCTTCCAAATTTTCTTAATCACGGCCCTCAGCTCGGCGTTTGCGTCGTCGATGTTCCCCTCGGTCTTGATTCGCAGCGACGTCCTCACCACGGCGAACAACGTTGCGTTGAACAGGACCGTGCCGTCACTGTTCAACGGCATGTTCATCGAGACCAGCCTCTGAAAAATTTCACCAGCTCAGAGCGGAACGTTGGTGCACCTGACGGGGAAACATGGGGAGGAAGAAGAAGAGGTACCAACTTTACACGCGACACGATGGGGACAGAGTTTACCGAAGCCCAACGGCGGCGAGATCTTTCGCAGAAGAGTCACCACGTCCAGATGCTTGATACGACCTTTCGCGTCAGGGTCGTACTCAGACCACAGACGTATAAACTCGTCCAAATGGTGAGGACCAAGGATCGACCAATCCCTCGTCAGATAATCGAAATTGTCCATGATCACAGCGACGAATAGATTGATGATCTGGAAAACGGACAACGAGGAAATTTTCAAACGTTCGATCATCGTGTTGGCTACAATTATAGTGGCGTATAAAAAAAAAGTCTCAGGCCATCGTATTTTTCAGATTAACATTTCCTCTGTATTATCTCGATTTGAAATCGAATCCTCTCTTCGAGACAGTGTTGTCAGTGTTTTCTGTTTTTTTCTCTCTCTCTTTCTCTCTCTCTCTCAATCACGATTGTTTGTAATTATTAGTAAATCTATATTTCACGCTGTTGGAGAAATATTTAGGACTCGATCAAAAATCATACGTGTTACAGCGTTGCCCCTAATTTTACAATGATTAAATCTCACAATGATTAGAATGATTAATCTCGATGGCCCGACACTGGTTGCGCGTTGCTGCAAGTTGTTTGGTTACTCACGAGGAACGAGCATAAAACGTAGAAAGATATAAAGTAGGGAAATGCAATGTCGGATCCGCAACCAGTTGAATTCTTTGCTTCGTCGCTGTACGGATCGCATTTCACTTTGCCAGGCTGCGCCGAACAGTCCATCATTATTTCCTGCCAAGCTTCGCCTGTGACGTGTAAATCGTTGATTTAATGCAATAACTGTAATATACTTGACTTTCGTTTGTTTCAAAAAGATATTGACATAAATAAATAAACGAACGTGTCTATCAACGCTAGAGCAAATTATATCCTACATTAATTTAAACGATAATTTATAGTTATAATTTAAACGATAATTAAAAAAAATAAATAAATTCATACGTTTGTGTTTCTGTGTCCAGGCAGAAATTAATATTAATTTTGACTAGCAGTATCGCTTGTGAAAGTATGAAATGAGACAAATTGACGGGTCTCCGATTGTTATAGTGTTAAAATAATAAAATTGTGCAATTACTTATAAAACTTCTGTAACAATAGTTACTAATAAGTAATACATATTTGTTGTGTGTAATTGTCAGTTCAAATATCCCGCCAGGAAAAACTGTCAAGAACGTTTACTTATCTGATCGAAGGTTTGGACGAGCACGTACCTGTAGCCGATCGAAACAGGACCAACACCGCTTGCGGAAATGATTGAAAATTGTTGTTCCGGTTTATCGACGTGTCGTCGTCGATTGCAATTTTTCCGAATACCTGGACAAACAGATTTTCCTTTATAATAATTATATTACAATATTACCTTGATAATAATTATATTACAATATTTTCCAAATACTTGACAAATAGGTTTTATAATAATATTATTATAATAAATTGATAATAATTATATTACAATATATCTTGAGAATAATTATATTAGAATATTATATCTTGACAATAATTATATTACAATACCTGACAAACAGGTTTTCTTGATAATTATTATATCTTATAATTATTAATATAATTATTATATCTTGATAATAATTATATTACAATATTTTTCAAATACCTGACAAGCAAGTTTTTCTTAATAATAATTATATTATAATATTACATCTTGATAATAATTATATTACAATACCTGACAAACAGGTTTTTCTTGATAATAATTATATTACAATATTTTCCAAATACTGACAGATTTTTCTTGATAATTATTATATTACAATATTATATCTTGATAATAATTATATTACAATATTTTCCAAATACCTGACAAATAGGTTTTATAATAATATTATTATAATTGTATTATTGTAATTTTGTATTAATGTATTATTATATTGTATCGTTGTAATTATAATTGTATATTTTATAATAATTATAATAAATTGATAATAATTATATTATAATATATCTTGAGAATAATTATATTACAATATTATATTTTGATAGTAATTATATTCCAATATTTTCCAAATACCAAGCAAGCAAGTTTTTCTTGATAATAATTATATTACATCTTGATAATAATTATATTACAATACCTGACAAACAGGTTTTCCTTGATAATAATTATATTACACAATAAATTGTTTACTTTCCTGAGATAATTATTATCTCTGTTATTTCTCAAATTTTAAATCATGCAAAGCTACATAGCATGGTATAATAACGTGTTGAAAATCTAACGACGCTCCAGCGTATATATACAGGGTGTCCCTACTTTCACGAATAGATTCAATGAATGAATAGCATAGCATTGCTATAGCCGGTAAAAAAAAATAGCTGTCCATTCCGAATAATCGCCTTTACAACTCACACTCACCTGCATGCCTATCACAGCGTAAATAAAAAACAGCATTATAATCAACAGAGCTACGTATGGCAGAGCTTGGAAGGACTTGATAAAAGTCCATAGCAGCGTTCTGATGCCCTCGCCTCTGCTCAGCAACTTCACCAGTCGCATCACACGGAACAGGCGAAAGAAATTGATGGAGATGATGGTGGAGCCAGGCTGAAAAGAAAAAAAACAAGAAAACGCGGAATTTCACAGGTTGACGTTCGAAGAACGAGTAACTCGACTGGCTCGTTCGAAAACCGTTTGCAACGATCCTTCGGCTGCAAACTTCGTTCGAACGACCCAATGAATGTTCACGCGGTGGTGAAGAGAACTGTTGTTGGAGCAACGTACATTGACCTCGGAATAGACGATGTCGATGAAACTTCCAAGAACGATAATGAAGTCGAAAACGTTCCAAGCGTCGCCAAAGTAGTTCTGCAATTAATTGGTCGGCGTTAACAGTGGACGATTAATCGTCTGTCCGATCGGAGAATCGACTCGGAGAAACAATCCATTATAATCGCGTTT